GCATTCTTCAGATTGCTACATCTATGAATATTATCATTTTTGGAAATGTGCTTTACAGCACAATTTCTTATTAGGCACAAAATATGTCTATATAACTTAGCAAACTTTAAGAATTTTGGTTACCACAAAAATTCTCAGGCTGTTTGCATATATATATACACTGTTACACATTAATACAGTATTATTATTAAGATGTTTATTTGCTACACTTGTTTACTTATTTTTAGCAACAATGCTAGATTACTTACAAAACTTTTACTGAATATTAGACAAAGTCAAGCCTTTAAGCATTTTATTCTTAAAAGATTTAGCAGATAACATCAACTTAAATGACCTTAGGTAAACTTAGGCAGCTGATAACCACAAGGACATGCCTGCCTCAGCCAAATCCAAATTAGCATTAATGCTTAACATTTTATCAGATTTTCTGGAAGTTTTAGAATACCCAATTTTCACAAGCGCTTGTCTTTAAATCAATTTTTATTAATACCATCTGGAGGTAGAGAAATCTTTCATCTACACACTTAGAAACACAAACATACAGACTGAGACATGACTACAGTCAGCAACACTTCGTACACAAAAACATATACATAGACAGACAAACTGATATAAAGACTTGAGTCACTGATGTTCAGTTGCCTTTCCTCTCCTCAGCTTCCTGTCTGTGGCTTCTGGAACCAGAGGGTGGGAGGAGTGTGTTCCAGTGGGGGAAGAGGGTGGTGAAGGTGGAAGGAGAGGGGGAAGGGTGTGGTGCAGCCCCTGGAAGAGGAGAGCAGGACAATGGCATTGTTGAAATGTAGGATTTTAGAATCGCGACAACACGTGTGAAGACAAAGGACTTAAAGATGGTGGTGGAGAGGGGGAGGGGATCGCGAGCTGAGGGAGATGGCGACTGAGGTCTTCTGGCAGATCTGAAAAGGAAGAAGGACTGGGCAGAGTAAGAGGCTGACAATCTTTCACCCCACTCTCTGCTCAGGTGGCAATAATTAATCAAGTTGGTGAGGAGGCCAAAATCAAAAGTTCCCTCAGGGGGCCAGTGAGATTGATTGTCTAAGGAATACCAAGGCCAGGCCTGAGAGCAAAGGAAGACCAGCTTCCATTTGTGAACTTCCTGGGACAAATATAGAGTAGCCAAATTAGAAATGAGACACTGCAGTGGGGTCTGAGCCTCTGCTTTTGAGGGCTGGTTCCCCATGTCTGCGCCACTTCCCAACTTACCCGCTGGAGAGGAGCGGCCAGCGTCCTAAGCACGCGCCAAGTCAGGGGAGACATCCTGGGAGCCTGGGTGAGGGATGTCTCCCCAACTGCAGGGCTACGGGTGGGCCGGATGCCTGCAGAGGGTGGGCTGGCTGCCCAGGGGCTGGATGCCCCACCTGGACGTAGCTACGATTTCTAATGGACCAGGTGAAACGGAGTTAGGGAGGGAAACAGACCGGGGAAAACTGAGGGACTCACCGGAAAATAGTCCATGCAGCGGAGAGCAGGCTGAGGTCCCGGGTTGGGGAAGGAGGGGGCAGGGCCACTGGTGGCTGGTTGGGGCCCCGCGCTCATGCTTCTTCCCGGGTTTCGGCACCAAATGTAAGATTCTAGTTTAAGATAAATTCTAACCAAAATAAGCAGGCGACGAGAGGCAACAAAGGGCCAGGCAGTTTATTTGAATGTAATTCCTGGGTGATATTCCTTGGTCTGAAACACAGGCCGGGGAAGTCACACCCAGTCAGGGAGGTGGGGGCTTATAAGGGGTTAGTAGGGGGAGGAGTGGGCAAGCTATCCTAGGGAGCGTGGAGAGGTATGATTGGCTAAAGGTGACATGATAGATAACTAGAAACTTTTTTTCCTTCCAAGAGGGAGGAGGCTGACATTCGGGTCTTAGTTGGCACATCAGAAGGATGGAATTCAGGAAGAGCTGTCCCCTTTCCATGTAAGGCATGGACCTTGGGGTCTGGTCTGTTCTCCTTTTATGGTATCTCTCTGTTCTGTTTGCATGTCCTTGTTTTTCGTTCCTCCAGCCTAACACCTCCCATTTGTAGAATGGTGAGAGCAGTAATTGCAATAGACAGCTCTGAGGCTGGGAGACCTGTATTTCTTTTAGGCTTGTTCAATTTCTTTTGGAGCTTGATGAAGCTAATATAAAGTGAAGATTGGCATCAATTATGTCATTAAAGATGACAGTTTTGTTTTGCATCCAATGGAAAAAGGGGAGAAAGTGACCCTTGGGGAGTTGTCTGTTATGTGGTAGGCACAGTACTAGGCTTGTTTCATTTTAGGGCTCTTAGTATACCAAGAAAGATGTTGACATCCATCAAGTGGTTATTGATAGGTCTGTAGCACAGGGTTACTCGTGGGGCACTACTGGCATTTTGAGCAGGAAAGTTCTTGTGTGAAACTGGGCCTTGACTGTGGGGCACTTAGTTCCCTGACCTCTGCCCTGACCCCTGTCCACCCCCGCACCCCTACTGGTACCAGTACTTTTGCAGTTGTAGTAACTGTCAGGTCTACTACCAGTTCAGATGCCTCCTCCAGCAGGTGATCCTGCCTGTGGTACTAGTACTAGGCTCTCAATAAATACTGGTGAGTACTCTTCAAAGAGCAGATATGTGGATTCCATCTCTGGGCATGTCTCAGTTGCAATGCAGTAGAAGATTCTGTAAGTTAATTTTGTGTTTTTATTATCTAAGATTTATGTAATATTGTATGCTTGTGAAATAACAAGTATTAATAAACTATACTATATAACTGGAATCTAGTTAGTTCTTTTTGTTGATTAAAAATGAGTGTATTCCGTAGTGTTAATGGCTTGATTTTATTCACCTCTTCTCTTAATCCTTATGGCATCATCCATAATAGTCAAGAACATAATGTATTATATGTTTCATCATTATTTTTCTTTTCCCCTTTCCATATATCATGTTTCTGTGACAAGATTTTGTCATGGGAATTTGCAGAAACGCTGACTCCAGCAATTAGCTTGAAATCTTCTGCTCCCTGTTAGCAGTTCTCCAGGTAGTTGACTGTCATAGAATGCATGAACATTTTATTGTGGGTGAAGTTTAATTTAACCCATTGGCAGTTACTTATTGGCAAACCTAAACTGGTAATAAAGCATTCTCCTTTATTAAGTCTCCAGCCATATTATGCTAATCTAGTACAGTGATTTCTGTTGACTGTATCGTAAGTGGGTTATTCTCTTGCATCTCAGAGAGAAGAGTGAGACTGGGGAGTCATTCATTTCTTCATTCATTAATAGGTATTTACTGTACTTGGGGTGCATGAGTGAACGGAACAGACATAATGATCTCTGCTTTCACACTAGCACAAATGAACATAAGAAATAAGTAAATTATGAGTTAGGGTAGAAGGTGGTAAGTGCTCTGGAGAAAAATAAGTTGATGAGGAAAATAAGAGTGCCTGGGGTTGGGCTGGAGATGCACCTTTAAATTGTGTGGTTCAGGAAGCTATCCTGAGAAGATGACTTTTTAGCAAACACCGGAGGGAGAAATGAATACTTACTGTACCCACCTTATGCTCCAGGTGCTTTAGGAGGCTGAGTAGGTCCAACCTGTGTAATCTGCAAAAAATAATTTGCATGGGCAAAGGGTGGATGGACACTTTAAGCTGAGAATGCTCCAAGCCAGGTCTGTTTGGTGTGTTTCACATGGATTAAAAAAAAATCTTTTTGAAGTAATGTCTCCTGTTTTGGTAAGTAGGATTTCAAAGGATGAGGGTTTTTTAAAATTTTTAAATAAAAAAAAATAAGATGACTACCCAGAGTGATAGAAAATGCCAGGTATTTGTTTTGAAAAGGAAATAGAAAAATAAGGCCAAGCCTGGAGTGAGTTTTGTGTGCAAGTCCTGGGGTCCTTACAGAATTATATTGCTTCTCTCCAGCTGCTGACATTATGATGGTGACAAGGGTCCTCTTGGGGCAGTGACAAAGTGGGAGATGCTGCTTCAAATTAAAAATGGCTTTTGGGTGGGAAGCTTCAAGAACGGTGGACTAGAGTCTAGAGACCATGAGTTGGTTCCTGCCTCGGTGGCTGACCAACCCCACGATGCTGGGCAGGTTGCTTTAGCTCCTCTACTTCTAAGAACGACTGTCCATTTGCTGGGCGTGCACATTATGTACGTTGTCTTGTTTAGTAGGTCAAGTTGTAAAACACTGACAAGATAACCAGTAAAGTCCTTTTGTTGTTCTTGAGTTCCTTTCTCCTTGATTGCTCACTTAAACATACACAGTTAGACTGCTGCTTATCTGTACCTTACAGATTGAAGCCAGGCCACAAAATGTGGGGATTTTGGGTGTCTGTACTTTCACTTTTGGAGTAGGAGAAGGGCTGGCTCTAGAATTCATGGGTTTTCTCTTCCTCCTGACGTCTTACACTGTGTGAAGACAATCCCATCCTGGTTAGCATTTTTGGAGTGGAATGGCTCAGTGCTGGCTTTTCTATGATCTCACTCATTCATCAGCCCCAGAATTCACTTCTGTTTTTTGAACTTTACAAAGTCTTCCAAGGAGTTAGGAATTGGAGCTGGAGGGAAAGCAGAAAATTAACTTTGCCTGGAGGCAAAGCCACGGGTTGTCTGTGCCTCAGATAACCTTCCATAGTAAAACAGCCTTGAGGAATGGTCACCAGGACTTCTACTTTTAATGTTTTTATTACTGACTTACCTTAAGAAGATCTGTAAAATGACAAACCCAGATGGCCCTAATGCTCCCTCTAAGCTCTAAAGTTCTGAGATTCTCTGGTGACCAAAACTGCAGATGTGTGCCTTTGGCCTGCAGATGTGTCACCCAGGACTGCATCGTCAGAAGGCCAGTGTGTGCTGAGCGCCCTCTGCCCTGACTCCTGGCACCCGTGGTCGGGGTGGTGAAGGTTCTCTCACCACTTTCCCCTAACCTGTATCCAGTCGCATGGTTGGAACGGTTGGAGGGCTGGCCCCGCCTGCTGAAAGGAGGACCCTGGCTCTCACCTCCGTGCTGTCTTGCCATTCTGTAGATGATGAACCAGGTGGAAGGACAACAGAAGAACCTCGTGCACGCCATCGAGTCTCTGCCCGGGTCTGGCCCCCTCACTGCCTTGGACCAGGATCTGCTGCTCCTGAAAGCTACCTCGGCTGCCACCCTCAGCTGTCTCGGGGAGTGCCTCCACTTGCTACAGCAGAGCGTGCAGCAGGTGGGCCAGCCCAGCCACAAGCCAGGGGCCTCAGGTGAGACCTCCCAGCAGGCTTATCTGCATTTGCAAATGAGTACCATGGGTGGGTATGTGTGTCCGTTCCCCCATTGTCTTCCTCCTATGAATCCATCCATTTTTCCTCCATCCATCTACCTATCCTTAATCCAGCTGTTTCGCTACTTATTCCTCTCTACTTTCCTACCCAATTTGGGATATATTTTTCTTTTACCAATTAGAGATACCATAGCCTGTGAAACATTTAACTAACGAGCTTGCATGAATGCTGTAGAACTCTGTCGAGGCTTGCTGGCATCACGCTCGCTGTGTCACCCCATCTGTGACTTTGCACCCACTGTTAGGTTTTGAAGATCCATTGCCATGGCAGCGTGGGGTCCATTGCTGCTGACTGTGCTTATGATATGTGTGCATCCCTGCTCTCTGGTGGTGGACATGCATGTTGCCCCCTGTTGCCTGGGTGAGCATCCTCCTGCGTGTCCCCTCAGGGACCTGTGAGAATTTCTCTGGGTCACATACCAGGGCATTTTGTGCCCTTTATCAAGGGACTGGAATTAATACATTCTCTTAGATGCCTCCATCATTTTGGAGGAGGGTGTAATCAATAAGCAGATAATGAAGATATTAGTGAAGATGAAATTCAGTGATAAAGGTGAAAATAGCATGAGATTGCTCCTGTTATGTGTAATTATAAAATATTAGAATTAAGAGACTAACATGGGCCTCACTGACCTTTGTCGCCCAGGTTCACTGAATTAGGAAACAAGGCAGCTTAGGTGGTAAGAGGTAAAGCTAGGTAGTCAGTGAGAGTCTGAATCTCAGGCTTGCCTCAAGTCCCCTTTGCCCTCCGTTTCACTAAGACTAAAAGGGATGTTGGTTTTCCAGAGCAGACTGTGGGAGTGGGGGGTAACCTGGGTTTCTTTCTGTAATACCCACCACCATTTACTGAACTTGATTCTACCAGTGTTTGGCCCTTGGCCGCACATTTTATGAGATCTTCACCAAGTAGGTATTGTTATGTCCATCCGTGGAGGAGATGCTGAGGCTCAGGGTGGTTGAATCACTGGCCCAAGGCCACCAGCTAAGTGGCAGAGCTGAGGTGAGAGGTGGTCCTTCCCACCGTGGCAGAGAGATGGAACCTTCCTCTGCCGGGGGTTCTTTGCTCATGCCAGAACAGACCACCCAGTGGGTTCTGGAACCCCCAAACTGGGGCCAGGGATGCAGTCCTGCTCACGTAATTATCTCAGGGTAGGTATGTATTCATTTTGTTTTCTTTATTTTTTTGTTTTGAAAGAATTTCAGACTTCAGCTAAGTTGTAAAAATAGGATGAAAAATTCTCATATATCTGTCTCCAAATTCCCCAAATGATAACATCTATGAAATTTGCTTAATCATCATTCTCTCTCTCTAAGCATATTAGAATTTTCTAACCACTTTCAGAGTAAATTGTAGGTATGACATGTCTTTACCCTTATATACTTCAGTGTGTATTTCTTTAAAAAAGGACTCCCACCTATATAAAATGGCACAATGGTCCAAATAAGTAAATTAACACAAATACAACATTATTCCCTTATCTGCAAACTATACTAAAGCTTGCCAATTACCCTATTAATGTCCTTTACAGCAAAAGAAAAAAAGTGCTCATGCAGGATCCAGTCTCCGAGAGGATGTGAGTGTATTCAGGCACAGAGTGAGGCTCCCAAGTCTGCCCTGTCTCTTTCCTCTAACTTCACAGCTTGAAAAATGAAGCTCTAATGCTGTACCCTCTGTGAGAATCCTTGACCTTTCCTGATCTGGCCTGAGTCTCAGTGACTCCCCTAAGGCTTGAACACAAATTCAGAGTTAGGCTGGAGGCTTTTCCAGGTTTTTGTGATCTCTGCCATCCTATATTCCAGCCTCTGCAACCTACTGGGCTCACTCCATGAATCTTCCACTAGGAACTACAAGGTTGAAACATTTTCTTATTCCTAAATTGAATCTCATACATCTTTTTTCAGTGCTGGTTTCTAGCGAATTCCTAATGTTTTTCCTGATTTTTCTGGATCTCTGGAGTTTTTAAGGGTTTTAGGGGACAAAGCTCAAGATGGAATTTCAGATGTGGTGACAGTGTAGATGGAAATGGAAACTGGCAGGAGAGACCCAGTGGTGTCCCTCAAGTTAAGCCGCATACAGTGCTGCCCCATGTGTCTCCTGCCTGGCCCCACTCCTCACTCCTGCCCTGCTTGTACCTCTGGCCTTCCTTTAGCCGTTTTTATAAGGAGCTTTCTGAAGGATGGAAAATAGAGGGAGCATGAAGCTTCAGAATGATTGCTCTGTTTCCTTGTCTTTCTTACCCTTTCTGAAAGTTACATTCATTCCCTTAAGTTTCTCAAAGCATTCTGCACGAGACCTTTTTAAATCTATGCCACACATTGGGAAAAAGCTGAATTACTTCCAGCACCCAAAACATCATAGTTGTCTGCTGTTGAAACAGAATTCCAGAATTTCAAGCTAGTGGAATGAGAGAATATGGTGACTCCAGGAATGTCACTACAAAATAGAACTTGTTTAGAATCTCATGGCCCTTGGGGTTGATGGTAGCTTATAGCAGCCTGATTCCCACTGATAAAAACATAACAGTTATATCTAAGGAGTGCCATCCTGGGTGGATGGAAATCAAAATCTCATTAAAGCAAAACTGCCAGGGTGTCCTTTAAATGTTCAATGGGCAGGAGGTGCAGATTACCCACAGCGTGCCAAATGCCATACACATTGTTCTTGCTTGCTAAGTCTCTTTGCTTTCTGATCTCTGCACTGTTGTTGTTGTTTTTTCTTGTGCCTCTTTTCTGAATCAAAAGTTATTTTGTGGCCTTGTAGCATTTGATCTTCTGTAGCATTACATTGTATCTTCTGGGGAATATGTTGATACTGGAGCTTTTGTTTGCAATGTTGTTCCCTAATGCTCATTTCATTTCAAACACACAGAGCAACTGGACTAAAATTATAAAAATACTTGAGTATTCATCTGCATTCTGTCTGTACATTCTGAGTTCCTAGGTTGGTCTCTGATGTTGTCACTAAGATAGAGTGGGCTGAAATTCTTCATGTAACTTCTGTTTATGGAGAGCTTTGTAGATAAAATAAATAAA